ATGTATGTATGCATGTATGTATGTATGTATGTATGTATGTATGTATGTATGTATGTATGTATGTATGTATGTATGTATGTATGTATGTATGTATGTATGTATGTATGTATGAAAAATAGTACGCAAAATACAAAATTTAATATTAATTTGTAAAAAAATGTATGGTTGATTTTTTTTAAATGGATTTAAAACATCGAAATATTTTTAATGAATTTTTTTGTTTTAATTTATGTGAATTTACCGCAAAAAATAAGGATATATTTATATTTACCGTAAATTCATATAAAATAAACTAAAAGAAATTCATTAAAACTATTTTCATATTTTAATATGTTTTAGATTTATATGTAAAATTACACACACATGCATATATGTATATATATTTCGTATTATTATATTCTAGAATTATATACTATGTACTATACTTCATACTAATTATATGCAACATAAAAAATTTATACTATAAAAAAATTATAATATGTAAATAGCTACGGACTACTACATTTCGATATTATGTATTTAATAATAAGTACCTTCATTATGTTTATATATTTAATTTACCCTAAAATATAAAAATCGTCTTATTATATTATAAATAGACATCTATATTTTATATTATGAACTTGTATATCATTTTATATTTTATTTTCTATTTTTTAATTTCATATTTTTTAATAGCAATTTGGACCCTTTAACGGTTGAGGGGGTAAATTGAACAACTTTGTCGGGTTCAGGGGTCTATTTGACCACATAGATTTCCATGTGGGATGCACGGTTGGCATCTAACCGGTTGACGTGGCGATGACCGGAAATTAACCTGCAAAAAGTGGGATTTGAATTTTTTTGTTGAGTTCATGGGGTGAATTGGAGCTTTTTTGAGTTCAGGGTGCGAATTGAGCATTCCGAACAGGTACAAGGGCCTATTTGACCCTTTAGCCTAAGAACTTCAACAGTTTATATTAGACTTCTTTTGAGTTGTTAATTAAGCACATAAATTAATACCTAAAATATAATGATAATTGATAACTACTCTGTATATAGTTTTTATATCGGTATTTGGAAAATGGCGTTGTTAAGTGAAAACATTGTGTTGTTCGACCATAGTGTTTTTAGACGCGAACGTTCAATTGGAAACGCTGCAAATAGCAGGAGTTTAAGTTAACATTTTAAAATATATAGGTCATCTCCTACTAATTGTTATAGACAAACAGCTAAATTGTCAAACATCTCGTTGCAAAAGGTCAACTTATTCAGCTAAAACTCGTTGAATGAGTCCGATATTAACAACCGCTAACATAATCCGTTATCCGTTAGTCGCTAAATATCAACCACGCCATAATCCCAAAGACGCCCAAATGAAAATAATTTTATAAAAACTAATTTTTAAAGAATATGTTTATTCTTTGAAAAAATCCATAAGTACTACTATGTACGTGTTACTGTATTAAATGTGATTGACAAAAAGTTATTTAGTAACTTTTAGTGACTATAATTATGTTCAAAATTTACATCGTAGTAACTAAGTGTAAGTTATCATAATGTAAACTTTAAGCATAACAGTTATTAATAGTTACTAAGTCACATTTTTGCTCATGTCATATTTATTGGTAACATTTAAGGGCGGGAAATGAAAGAATGTAGGCTACAATAACTTAGTCCAAATCTAGTAGGATCACACAATTACTACATCAAACCAAACCATAGAAATTTAATACTCGGTACTTAAGAAAATAATTTAAATACAAAATTCATTGTATGATTTAACATTATTAAATTAAAAAACGGCAAGGACATTTATGTTATAATACTAATAATGATAATACTAAAAAGAAAAAAGAAAACAGTGAAAAGGAAACAACATAGGGCTGCCCATGGTGGGGAAGAGTACTGTTCCGTATGAAGACGTTGGATGGGAAACTACACGAGTAGGAAGAGCACATGCTTATGTCTCTTCTCTATAAGATCAGATGATGACAATTGACAAACGGAGATCTAACGTTACGTTACGTTGCAGCGACTAAAAGCGACGTTAAATCAAGCCCTTCGCCGAATTGTGACTGTGCGGAAAGGCATGGCGCAATTACTTACTCGGGTCCAGCCAACAACCGGCATCAAGGGAACACTTGTTTGGTAAAAGACTATAAATGGCTATCTATCTATACACACTGGTAACCCATAAATGGAGGTTTTTAGTGGAGAGGGCTGTCAATAATCACACATTAAACATCTTGTGTGGCACCATTACGCTTTTTTCAAAATTGACACACCATAGCGTAAACACTAATTGTGCGTTTGATAAATTTGGACTGAATTAACTGTTAAATTATGAAAAAAAAAAATATTTAAAATTTATTTTGTTAATATGGTAAAGAAAAACTATATGGATCATAGCAAGTTGTGTTTAAAATAACTTCAACCAATTCAATAAAAAAAGTAAGGGAAACATAATTTAAATGCCCCAAATTTTAATGAGGTGTGAGTAGGGATGGATTGGGTCTGGACGATCCGACCCGGGACCGACTTTAACCTGGTACTGTTGGTACGGAACCAGTACCCGGACTGGTGGTTATAAGGGGAGGGATTCGGACTTGATTTGTTGGACCCGGCCGGGCTAAACGGCTATTTTTCAAAAAAAAAATTGAGTGGGTACTGACGTGGGTCTGGTACTGTTTAGGCCCGGACCGGAACCGGTACCGAAACATACTGGGCCAGTACCAGGCTCCACTCTTCCAGAACCAATAACGCCTGACCCGGCCCGAGACGGGTCCATCCCTAGCTGTGAGGTGTGTACCCCAAACTTGCATATGTAGTAATCCCTCTGATTCTAAAAGAAGTTCCACCTTTCTTTTTCGGGCAGTACCAAAGTTAAGTTCCACTTTCAAACATTTCATTATTTGGCAAATTATCTACATCAAAACAGTGTCAAATAGTGCCAACAGTGTCCAAACAGTGTAAAACAGTGCACTCTACGGTAAAGTTATAATCGGAACTTCTTTAGAATCGGAAGGAGTATATATACTCAGAACTTTATATTAAAAGTTATTTTGCATCATGACAATATGTTTTTTACAATTACAAATTTATCGGAATAATTATATAATTTAAAAAACTTTAAACCTTGTTAGAATGTAATTAACATTCTAAAATTACATTAACATTAACATTAAAAAATTTCATTTTTGACATAAATAAAATTACATTCAATACAATTTATTTTAATCGTATCATCATAAATCTTATGTGTATTTAAAATTACATACTCAACACCATAAAATCACACTTATAAAAAAATATGATCAGGATACTAACATTTATATAAAATTTGGGGTATACTTCTTACATGTGTAAATTTAGAATACTTATGTCACACTCCTTCAAAGTTTGAAATATTTAAATTATGGGAAAAATAATTAAAATACCCTAAACTTTGAAGGGGTGTGACCTTGTGAGATGAGCACCCAAACTTGCATAAGTAATTTAAATACCCCAAACTTTGTATAAAATGTTATTTTAGCACCATAGTCAAGTATTATTTTCTTCAAAAATATAAATTTATGTTGTTAATTGTATAATTTAAAATATTTTAGAATTCATGAATACACAATCAACATTCTAAACTTTCATATTGAAATAAATAATGTTACCCACAATCTATATAATTGTAACACTTTTAATTTGCTATTTTAAATTGTGCAATTTACCCCATAAATTTACATTTTTGAAAGAAATAATACACGACGATGGTGCAAAAATTACTTTTACATAAAATTTGAGGTATTTAAATTACATGTGCAAGTTTGGGGTGTTTACCTCACACCCCTTCAAAGTTCGGGGTATTTTTATTATTTTTCCCTTAAATTATTTTCCCAAAAAGTAACCATAACCTCACTTAATTTGATTACTATAGAAAATTCATTGAAGTTAATAGAACATAATCCCAGAGGTATTGAATTATATCATATTCACATTTAATATGTCCAGTTCGATAAACTTCTGAAATAATTTTATTAGAAGATAATTTTTTTCATCAGTCAAAGTGTCAAACCCAAAACTCTCAACGGGACTATTATTATCTACTCAAATTACTTGCGAAAAAAATCTAATTGAATTTGGTGAGCATGTCAATGACTTGACTACATAACCTACACAAATATTATAACAATAGGACCGTCCATTAAATCATTAATGCATTAGATGTGGCCAAATCATGAACGTTCACAATATATTTCTTGCAATCATTTTGGAAGCTAGGAGTATAGTCATAAGTATTGACATAAAGTTTTATATTTAAGAGTTAAGACATAAAGTTTTATACGGAGTATTTCGGAAACAACGAGAGAAGTTCGTATGAAATAAGGTTGTATAACACTATAACCAAATAAATCTTATTTTGATGATAAATATAGTTAATCCTACTCCCTCCATATTTTAAAGTTCCATACACTTTGAATTTTGGAATGTATTTAAAAGTTTCATACATTTTTTCTTTTTAGTAAGTTTTTCCATTAAAAATACTCAACAACCCTTATTTTTTCTACTTTTTATCATCTTTTTCCTATTTTTTCATATTCTCTCCTACTTTTCTTATACTATTCATTACTCTTACTATTCTATCTTAAAACTTGTATCATAAGCCCATAACTAACGTATGGATCTTTTAAATAAGGGAGGGAGTATATGTGTACTTTATCCATGGAGCAATTACTTTCTGTTTTTTTTTTTCAAATTGAGGAATATAAAGTTAATCATAGCGTATTAACATACACTAATAAGGTGAGAAAAATAAGGCCGTCAAACAGGTGTGCCCGACAGCTGCCAAAAGAGACACACGCGTCTATGGTTTTACCCAAGAGTCGTTGGAGGGACGCACATGAAGCAGTTATGACAACGTCAAAACGTCATGCTCAGACATTGTCACATATAGTGCTCTCGCATGTGCCTCAGAACAGTCATATATTTAATGCGCAAATATACCCCAGATCTCAACTTTCATAATCACCCCTCCCTCCAATAATTAAATTTAAACTCAACAGTATTAGCATTAGCCCCCAGAATTAGTCAAACCACCCCACTGCATCCGTCCAGCCTTCATCCCCATCACATCCCACTCAGCGACAAAAAAAAAGTTGCATCCAATCAAGTTTTTGAAAAAGAAACAATCACTGTTTACTTGAGTAAGACAAATAATGACTGCACACAAATTACATGAACAGCTTTTTCATCCATTCAGCTAACGAGGAGGCTCACCCGGAGGAGTAAGAGTGTGTGAGTATGAAAAGCCTTGACCTGGAAAGGTGTTTGCGTTTGGATGGAAGATCGGTCTTCCGGGTTGGGTCGGGTTCCAATGGTTATTTTGGGAGGGCATGGGAGGAGGAGGGCCTCCATACCCGGCTGGAGGCTGGTGTGTAGCCACAAACTGAGGGTTCTGCCAAGTTTGCGTCGCCGATGTATTGTTATTAGAGAAGGCCGGAGCTTGTTGCATTGGACGCAAAGCCGGTTCCGGGACTGTGTAATCTCTGCTTTTATCACTGTATGCCTGCTTGGAATGGAATATTACATCATGTTAAATAATCGTATTGAATGGCACTTGTTTATTTATTCAGTGTAATGTTTGACACAACAAGACGGTAAGATGGGAATCATATGATTACCAGATTAAATGTTGAATATTAGAAAACGTAAAATTATATAAAAGGGCATTGCCTACGATTTTTGTTTTTGATACATCGGAAACTGTGCTTTAGAACAGGGGTAAGATTGCGTACATCTGACCCCCTTACCATAAATGAAATAGAAAAAATGGAATAAAGTAGATGAAATAAAATGCTATTAGTACTACAAAGAGCTTTTCTTTTGAGCTCAGTCTGATTGCAGAAAAATAAATTGCTAAGGAAAATTGATATTATGTTATTCCTCTTTTCAAAGACTCTTTCAAGACAAAAAATATTGAAGTTTAATTATATATTACGCCTTTTGTTCCGCTATTTCAGTCCAAATTTTCATTTTTCTTCTGTTTGGAAACTTGTCTCATACCACCTTTAGTAATATTTTGAAGATCAAATTTATTTATACTTTACCAATCAATTAGTAATGACCAATTATCAACAACGGGCCAATGAAGCTTGATAAAGTTGTCTTATAATTAAAAATCACTTCTTTGACCAAGAAGTATTTAATTAATTTATTTGTCTCATATTTCTTTTCTATCAAATTAATTATCACCCTTCCTTTTTAGGAGAAATCAACCCTAAAAGAAACTACAGTACACTAATAAAGTATATGACAATTTAATAAATTATTCAGTACTACTACAATACATAAAACATTCTGTGTAAGGTCTACAAAAACCTACTCTCGCTGTTGTCCCGTTAAGATTGTCTCATCTTTCGCTTTTAGTCCGTCCCACTAAGATTGTCTCATACCAAATTTGATAAGAGTGTATATAAATCATTCTTACTTTATCATTTAAATATCGACCACATAAACATACTTTTTTTAAACCGCGCCACCTCCTCATTAAAACCTACTCCCTCCGTCCCCTTTTAAATGGGACGGGAGATGGTGGCACGGGTTTTAAGAAAAGTGAGTTTGTGTGGTTGATATTAATTGATAAAGTAAGAATAAAGTAAGAATGATTTTGAGCCACACAAAGTTTACCAAATAAGGTATGGGACAATTAAATAGGAACATCCCAATATGTTAAAACGAGACATTTAAAAGGGGACGGAGGGAGTACCTCAGAGGTAGTATAATGCACAAAACGTTTTCCGAAAAATATTACTTTAATCTAATATAACAATTGCCAATAAAAAGAAATCTTAATCTTCAATTTTATTCTTTTATCTAACAATCAAATAAAAATTTGTTCCTAGATGGTAGATGTTATCACAAAATCTCATCTACCGGCTAGAGGAAATGACACAAACATACCATATACAACATAAACCGGCAGCCCACTTATCATTTTCATGTTGATAGATTATAGCTTACATATTGTTACTTATAGGTATATTTCCCAAATATTAACTCAGAAATACACCCATACCTTCACATTCAGATCAGTGTGACGAGAGTATGACAGATGAAGCTTACAATAGCCACCATCGTAGATGCAATGTCCCTCCAGAGCATTTTTTGCAGCAGTTGCAGTTGCAACATCTGCAATACATGGGATATCAGAAGCTACAGAGGAACCAAATGCATTAAAAGAAAGCAAATACGAAGACAACTGAAGATGTTCGCAAAAATACTACATTTGGCTCAACAAATGTAGGTCATATATTGGCAGGATAAGTTAATGATAGAGACCTAGATAGTACTAGTAATAAGAGTAATATTAGTCTTTTAATATTGTAAAATAAAAGGGGGTTAGGCCCTGAATTAAATAGCAGTGGGCTAGCCCAAATGGAAAAGAATAAATAGGAGTTGGGGGAGTAGAATAGAGGGAGGCAGAACTGGAGACTTGGGCTAAGATTTTGGGAGAGATAGGCTGCTCTAAGTGCCTAAAGCGTGTATCGTTTCATTTCTGTTCTTCATTCACGTTCTTAATAAACACCGAGTTCCCTCTTTCGATCTTGGTATCAAACATTGGTATCAGAGCAATCACTCCTGGAGCTTGAATTGATCATCAGCATCAACAAGTTGGAAGACAGTTGAAGAAGAGATGGAGAAGAGTATGGACAGTATTGAAAGTCCGTGGAAGGAGATGAGAACGATGATGAACGCGTCGCTGGATGGGATGCGCCACATGTTGCGCAAACTTCGTCGTAGGCATCATAGAGACCGAACGAGGAGCCCTCCTGGACGTCGTCACCCAAAAGAAAGCCAGTGCTCGTCATCCTCGCAAACCAAGTCTCCCAGTGCATCGCGAAGTGCACAGGTTTTGTCTTAATCGCTAAGTTCACAGGTTCCGTGGCAAGCAACTTCTCTTAGTTCGCAGGTTTTTTCTCAGTCTCTAGCCACGTCTCATAGTCCCAGTACGCCATCGCCAGCATCTTCTTCCTGTACGCCAGACTCTTCGTCATCAGTAGCCGCTCCTCACCTGTCGTCAACGACCAGTTCGCAGTTGTCGTTGCTGGCCGCATGTCACAGTTCGTCAACGCTAGCTGTTTCTCAGCATGTGCAAGCTTCATCAGTTTTCAGAACCCCAGACCAAGCAGAATCCGAAAATGGATCACCGGGAACTTCATCGCCGACAATGAACATTGAGTTGAGGTTGTGAGGTTGTCAGAACCAAAAGCGCAGGAGGAAGGCACAAGCGCAGATAAGTCAAAACGGACAGGTGATAAGATTTATTATTCGACTCTAGTGAAAGCCGTGCCAAAATCTGTTGATTCATCTGAACGAGATAAAAAACTAGATCAGGTCATTTATCGTATCAAACTTCCTGGACCCGCTTTATTGTGTGAAGGCATGGCACAGACAGTTTATTATTGTAGGGGAGAGCATGAAACAATTAGAAGGTTGTTTGAAGGAGCGTTAGCGTGAGCTGAAACAGACTACTTATCATTTCCTTGGAGGGAGAAGTGTGTTGCTTATGCTGAAAGTCACGACCAAACTCTGGTGGGTGAAGGCTTTGTATTATTCTGGGGTACCCTAGCAAAGCAATTGGTGAATAATGATCCACAGACTAGTGCAATTGAAGGATAAATTTTCACTCATTCAGAGGTCAATCCTGGGATGATGATAAAGGGTAAATTTATTACTGCTGACAGTTTTTGTATCATTGTGCAAGTGGCATGTTTGTTCAACAACTAGGGTGTTGGACTGGAAAACTGCTTGAACAAAAACACAAGGTTCTGATTTTTTCTCAGTGGACTAAAATGATTGACATACTTCAGTATTGTCTTGGTCAAATGAAGTTGGAAGTCTGCAGAATTGATGGCAATGTCAAATTAGATGAAAGAAGAAGACGGATTCAAGAGTTCAATGATGTGAACAGCCCCTATATGATACTACTTCTGAGTACTAGAGCTGGTGGATGGGGAATAAATTTCACCTATGCTTATACCAGCATTTTATATGACAGAGATGGGAAACCCCAGGTTGGTGAGGCAATATCATCCATATTGCACAGCAGGGTGGCTGCATACTCGGACATAGATGATGCTGGGGAAATAGTAAAACCAATACCCCAGATCAAGAGGATCTTATCAAGCCCAAGGTGTCCTCCCCAAATTGCACAGGCTATGTTTTCTGGTGAGTCAAGTGTTGTAGAGATGGCTGTTGCCTTGCTGAAGGTTGTTGTTATTAGGAATCCAAAAAACAATGATAAAACTTAATAGTACTGGAGCTTTTTATTTTTCCTTATTACATCAGGGATCAAAGCTCCTTTCAATTGCTCAGCTCCTCTCAGTTAATCATGTCCATCAAGCTTTTCAGGGTGGGGATGAGGCAGCATTGCCTTTGACGAAAAGCAGTATTTTGGGTGGACTCTTACCTAAATCCCTGCGTTTGGAACATAGTGGACTAGCTGTCGTTTCTGTAGCCATGGCTTCAAATTCTGATATTCCTAAGATCTTCTGGACAATCAGAAAGCGGGCTGAAAGTGAATATGCAAGCTCAATTCTTCACCATGGGATTGATATGGTCTTTGGTTATCAACGGGGCGAGGAACAGGCAGTTAAGGTTGCAAACATATTTTACTATGTAAGGTACAAAGACATTGTGGAACATGAGACAATAGAAGAAGGGCAAGGAATGCATTTGCTGGAAGATTCTAACTTTTGCAACATAAGAGAGCATTCTGCCACCATGTCTTTGTTTTGGCTCTGTCTTTCGGTGAAGAACATAAAGATGCAGGTTCAAGAAGTGAAGCTCCTAGCCCCGAAATCAAGGAGGTACTGGGAAGGGAGAGGCGCGAGGATGAAGCTGAATGGCATGGCTGTTACTTACTCCCCACCTTGAGGGCAAGGTGGTTGTCAAAGGGGGGAGAGTAGTGATAGAGACCTAGATAGTACTAGTAATAAGAATAATATTAGTCTTTTAATATTGTACAATAAAAGAGATTTAGACCCTGAATTATATAGCACTGGGCTAGCCCAAATAAAAAAGAATAAATAGGAGTTGGGGGAGTAGAATAGAGGGAGGCAGAACTTGAAACTTGGGCTGGGATTTTGGGAGAGATGGGCTGCTCTAAGTGCCTAAAGCGTGCATCGTTTCATTTCTGTTCTTCATTCACGTTCTTAATAAACACCGATTTCCCACTTTCGATCTTGGTATCTAACAGTTAAATGCAAGAGAAATCGTCCAGCCTCCAAGGATGTGTAAAAGGCAACCAATGCCAGTATAATCATTTAGGGTCCGTTTAAATCAAAGGAAATGTCAGGGAAAGGAAACTGGGAGGAAAAATAGGAGAAATATGGAAGGAAAGAAAAAGTGATTATAAATAAAGCATTTGTTCAAACTATATATTTTTTTTCTATTTTTGTTTAAAGTGAGTATAAATAAAGCATTTTTGTTCAAACATTTGTTAACACTTAAACTTAGAAAGAAAGAAAAATTCGTCACATTTCATTTTCCTTCACGTTTTTGGGGGTAAAACCAAAAACACTCATGATAGAACCCCCACCCCCACCCATCATACTCCAGGAACCAAACATGCCTTAGTGGTTATGCCAGGGGTTTAACAAGCAAATGAATAAAAATGTCAAATCTCAAGGTACAATCAACAAAGCCTTGTGCATGAGTAGTACATTATATGGAAAGTATATGCTACAATACACACCGGGATATTGGATGAACGCTTGTGTTCCCCCATTCTTTTCAAATATTGCAATCTTTTGGACCGTACCAAATGAAGAGAATACCTTGTCAACATACATATGAGTTAGAAGTAATACCTGGTGTTAAGCAGGCTAACATAAAAGGAACTGAGAAGGAAAATTATAATATTATTATACCGTATGAAGGACATCCAAAGAGACAGCATACTGCATATTCTCAATGGAGGCAAGAAGCACATTACTCTCTGCCTCTTTTATCTTACCATCTAGACCTACAACAGGCTGTACATCATAACAGGGGGTTACCAGATGCTCAACATGCAAAAGTGTATCTAAATGCACAACTAAAAAAGACCTGAATGTATCCCTCCATTGCAGTGGAATTTACAGGAAGATATGGATTTGTATAATCTCTGCATTTGAACAAAAAACAATGCCAACTTTACGTAAATGAAGCATATATATATGTAGAAAACTATATTATATGTGTATGCAATACATTGAATATTCCATAGGAAACGAAAGACCTTCCAAGAAACAAAGTTTATAGAAAAATAAAAAGGAGGGTAATATAATAAAATCATCAAAAGAGCTGCACCTAGGCAATGTTTTTCAATGGATCTAGCATGGCTAGACCTTGTAAATTGAAGAATGAGAAAAAGATTACACTAAACTAAAAAACAAGGCTATTTGGTCAGTTTAGTATATAATATAAATAAGTAATTACAGAACACTCAGCAGTTAATATTCGCAGATTCGATAAAATAACATGACATTGAGATTAAGAAAATTACTAAGTATCCATGGCAAAAACAACTGTGTTTTAGCTGCCGAGCTTCACTAAGCCCTAGAGGACAAGAAGCATATATATCTATTAGCAAGAATTCAATGGTGATCTACTCTAAGGAGCAAGTCTAGGGAGACGTGGAAAAAAAATATTAATAAGTGACATTCTTAGGTATCAAATATAAATTGGGTAATTATCATATTGTTAACTTTTCCAACCACAATGAGTATGCGGCAAATAAGAATGTCACATAGTAATGCCAATATTCCATGTTCCCCTAGAATTTCTGAAAAGTAAAAATCAATACATCTTAAAAGAGCTTGAAGATAAAAACTGGAATTAAAAGGACTAAAGAAGCTCCCATACCTGCTCCGGTTGGACTGGAACTTTATATTAAGATCAGTATGAGCAGAGAATGCAATGCGCAGATGACAATCATTAATATGCTCAGGGAGCAGGTACCTGAATAATGTACATTTATTAGTTGGAATAAAATCTGGAATTGCAAAAAATGAACAATGAAAACAATGCACAGGTATAGTAACTAATACTAATTAATTAAAAGCAACAAATCCATGCCTTGGGATGCATCTCCCGTCCAATGCTTCTCTAGCAGTAACTGCAGTCTCAACATCTGTAAACTGGATCAAAGCCTGTCAAAATGTAGTACACGTATATCAGCTACAAAGTGTATTCTATGGCAAGGAGGGGGAGGAACAGCAATTAGTTAAAACTTTAAAACGTGGTAGAACACAAAATGACCTGAAAGCCTGCTGCCTTTTCAAAAGTAGCAATCTTGTGCACAAAACCGAAGGCTGAAAATACCTAAGAATAATCGTTCATGAACATAAGTAGTTTATTAGGCCAGGTAAACAAAGATTTAAGCAAACAGTTATAATATAAAGTTCCCAAAAATTAAATGGTGCATTAAAAGAGATCACAAAAGTGTGAGAATAAGTCCAGAATGACACCTGTATAGGCAAGCCATAGATATTTGTACGACCCAAATGACAATTTATCCAGTGTCTCCAACAAAAGATATTAAATTATGACCATCTGTGATTAAACTAACTTGAGTCAACAATGAATAGTTTAGTAAATCTATTTCTGAAGTAAAATTGTAGGGCAAAAAAGAATTTTCTGAAATAAAATATTGTACACCCGTGCAAGTTCCCCGCATAAGCAAAATCTTAAGGACCCAAAATTGATGGATAATAGCCAAGTATATAACATAATAAGAAAGTAGCTTATAAGAATGAAATTTTAGGCAAATATCAAAGCAAAGCCTCGCCCCTTGTTCCGGATAGGGTTACAAAATACATATAACTAATGAACCAAGAGGCAGTGTTGGAGTTCTCTTCACCTTCCGATTAACCAAAAACATCAAATAAAAAACAATTTTGAACATTTGGTTATCATGAATGCATGTTAGTCAAAAGTATCTGTAATCAACTCATGACAATAAGAGCACTCACATACTGGCTACAGTCCTACTGCAATTAATGAAGTCTTTTTCTTATGGATAATCTAATCTACTCAGTATAGCAATGATTTCATAGGTTGGAGAATGGAGAAGCATACTCACCAAATGAATGACATCAATGCTGACATCACTAGCTTCAACGCCCTCAATAGTTACGAGTAGAACATTGCCCGGAACATCTCCAGGGCCCTTGTTGTTGACAATTTCATGCCTGTTTGAATACTGAATATACACAGCTTTGCCACGAATTTGTGCAGGGTCTGAAGATGAAGCATAGTAGGTGGCCATATTAATTGCCTGATTAAGATCAGCCTGCACAATAACATATGTCAGATACTCAGGTTGTGGGATTCATGGAACTCCAGGTTATATTGTCTAAGCTCACCCCAGCCCCTTTTCCTCAGCCAAATAGAAAAAGGAAAGAAAGGATTACAGATTTTTAAATCCTACTCCCTCCGTCCCGCTAAGATTGTCTCACTTTTACCTTTTCGGTCCATCCCACTAAGATTGTCACATATCAAAATTGGTAAAGTTTGTGTGTCTCTAAATCATTGTGTGTCACAATCATTCTTACATTACCTTATATTGGTTTGCGTGTCACTCCCTCGTGTCCCATTGTTAGTGGGACGGAGGGAGTAGTATTTATAAGTATATAACTGCGATCTCAAACAACTCAAAGCCTCAAATCCAACAAAAGCATTACTACGCAAGATAATCAGAATTCTGCAGTGTACGGCCAATAAGATATACTACATATGCCGGCCCTTAAAAAATGAGTGTTGTGTAATGATAGGAAACTGTCCAGGTAAACAGTAAAATCACAGAATCTATCAAGAACAACTAAGAGTTTTTATTGATGAGGAAGAATCGATTACAGAAGGAGAGTAAGAAATCAATGGCCGAAGCCCCCAATATGAGCCGAAGCCCCCAAGAAAGAGAGTAACTCTCGATCTCCCAAGTCCCAGTCTGAAAAATGTCTAAACAGCCTGCCTATTTCCTACCCTCCCATTACTATTTATAGTATAAGACCATTTATTAATATCTACAACAATAGGCATATTATAACAGGCCCACTTTTTTTTTTTTTTTATTTTTTTTTTTATTTTTTTTTTTTTTATCAATATCTACTATTCTAGTATTCTTATTAGTATTATCATCTATGCTCCTATCAATACTCCCCCCCTGAACAAGGTGGGGAGTAAGAACCAGCCATGCCATTCAACTTCTTTCTCGCGCCTCTTCCTTCCCAGTATTTCCCTGTTGATTTGACCATGTGCTTCAATGCTTGCAACTTTAAAACGAAGGATGTTTCTTTTGCAGAAGTTATATATGGAGAAGTTTTATTTTCATCAGTTGCCTTTAAACCTTCAATAGCAACAAATAGCTCCTTTTGATGTTCTTTTCTGTCTGTAACAGTTAACTGCTTTGATATTGTTGCTTCCAGATTTTTCAGAAACAAACCATCATTCCCAGCAAGTATAATCCCTATTCCATTTTGAATATTCTTCATACAAATATCACTGTCAAATTTGAAACCATCAGTCTTATTCAGCCCCACCAAAGTCAGGTTTGATGCATGAAATGGATACCAACAGTTAACTTGCAGCACCACACACTCAGCAACAGAGGCATTTGCTGATTTTGTCACCAAACCATCACAATCTCTTATTACCTCATCATCAATCTTGGTCTCAAGCAATTTTTCTTTTGCAAGTACTTCTTTGTTATCAGAATGGATGCCAGACAAGAGAAGCAAGCCTGGAAATAAAACTGGCTTAGGCATCCATAAGCCAGGACTGTCATCATTGTTGTACATCTTTGGTTTCCAAGGATCTTCCGGACTATCAGGTAGAGCTCCAGTAGTTTGCAATGTATCCTCTTCTTGCTCTGGCTCCAGGACTGAAGATGCAACCGTTTTAAATTCTGTGTTCATTGCGGTTAGTTGAATTCCCTGCAGTCCCTTTCCTGATGAGAATCTAGCACAGGGTGAATCTAGCGCAAGGGGAGAAACTTGTGAACAAGAAGTTCTTAGCGACCTATATGACTCCTGTTTTCGCTGCCTGCTTAACAATGATTCCTGCGAACTGAATGAAGTTCTTCGTGCCCTCGAGGATTCTTTCTTTTCTGTCCTTCCTGTCTTCTTACGTTGTTTAGGTGGAAATTCCTTCATCAAATCTCCCTTTAGAGCTTCCCAACTGTCTTCTCCCTTCTGAAAATCCCACCATTGAAACCATCCATCTGCGGCTTCCCCCATTGCCTTTGCTGCCATGTCCACTTTAAATCTTTCTGCAATAGTGTAGGTTTGGAAATATCTCTCCATCTTCTCTATCCATTCATATGCTTCTTCCTCGTAGAACAGAGGTAATTCCTTCTTTGAAATAGCTGACTTCCCAGAAGCCAATTTAGAAGAAGAATGCGAACTGATGTTCGTTGAGGGAATCTGCGAACTTTGATGTGACGATGGATGATACGAGTGATGCGAAGAAAGATTCGTATGGTGCGACCTGTGCGATGTAGGTCGCGAACGACTCTGGATCTTATTCTCCCGCCTTGCGATGTCCGCCTCTGAAGATCGATGATGAGAGTCGCTATGCGACCTCGGAGAAGTGTGCGATCGATTCGAACGGTCTTTCTTCGATCGACTCTGGATTTTCTTTCCCAGGTTTGCGATGCTCTCCTGTATAGCCGCCATGTTTGCAGCTATTTGTCGTTGTCTCCTTTCCATCTCATAAAGTCTTCCTTCCATCCTTGCACGTCTAGCGATAGTCTACAATGATCGATGCTCTGAAAAAAAAACTTCTGGTAATTTCCAACTAGAGTTCAGGTCACCAGAAAAGATGCTCTGATACCAATTGATAGGAAACTGTCCAGGTAAACAGTAAATTGCCTAACTTTTTCCATCATTTCCAATAGGGCCAAAGACTCACTGTTTTTTTGCGCGGGAATATCATGGAATAAAGCAAAATGCCACACTAAATTGTCAGCACTCCTTTGTTATGAAGCAGCAGACAGTCCATGCAATTTTCGACGCGTTTCTCATCATGGGTCATCCGGAAATAGTCTCTATGTGCTTCAGTATAGGGGTAAGGTTGTGTACATCTGATCCCCCCTTATCCCACTATAGGTGGGAAGCCTTTGCGGCATTGGGGTAGTGTTGTTGTTGTTGTAACCTATGCCTAACTTCATCCATTAATATTTCATAGTATTTCGTATTTCATTAAAGAACTAATGTGAGATATTTCAATCTTATTATGAAGGGGGGCCTTGGCACACCGGTTGAGGTGTTGTTATGAAACCAAGAGGCCACGGGTTCTAGTACTGGGAGCGGCCTCTTGTCAAATTGACAAGGTAAGGCTTACCCCCTATACACCCTTGGTGGAAGCCTTCCCCAGACCCTCACCTTGCGGGGACGCCAATGTCAGTGTACACTGAGCAGCCCTTGATTCCAGTTATATGATAGCAAATTACTAACTTTGTCATGTATTTAGAGAAAAAATGGACAACTGTGTCAAACATGCTCAAACAACAAATCATTTTAGTACAGAAGAAGTACATCACCAGGAACAGAAGATCTATGGCCAGAAGACAGCCAGACACTATAGTAGAACCAAGAATGTATGACAGTATCAGACATGAGTTGCCACACTAGTGTTTACATGTGAATTATTATCTTATAAGATTGAGTTCATTTATTAAATGCTATAAATCAAAAGATATACCAAATACATCCATCCTTGCCATACACCATTAAGAATTAAGATGTTGTGTGCATGCTGAAAACATGTTACATAATTTAGTGTGAGGTTCTTTTTGCACAGGTGACAGGACTTGTGGAATTCTGAACTTACATATTCAGATTTAGATTTACCTGCTCCGTTCATGTATTTTACATGACATGCATCTTGATATTGCCATATAAGTTTTGCAATGGGACATGAGTATAACAACTACCTTAACAAATTGCCGTTCACTGTTAACGGAATTAAATTATAAATTCGGGTCATTACTGACACAATGACACCCAGCATAAAACACTCACACAATGCTATTCCATGAACTTGTAGAGGCCGTTTGGAAACACTGTTTTTCGGCTTATCAGGCTTATCAACCAACTTTTTCACCAAACACATAACTTTTATTTTCGCGCGCTGAATTGTTTAATAAGCAGAAAAAGTAAAGTTGGAGTTACTTTTCTGGCTGCATTGGCCGATGTTACTGTACATGAGGACCATTTTAGCTATTTTTAAATATAATTTTTTCTTTATTTTATTAATAAAATATATTTTAAAAATAATTTATTCTTAAATAAGCGGATTTTATAAATTTCAGCCACTTCAGCCATAACTTTATAAATTTCAGCCGAACACATGAAATGGCCCCAAGAGAGTTGGTAATTGGTATATAGGTGATGATGAATCAAACTGCACCTATTCATCACTCCAAATAACAGAAATTAGTCTTCCAATTCTATTATGTTAGAACGTGCAATTGATTCAATATAATTTAGGACCTCTCCCACTTTTTTTGTTTTTTGTTTCACAAAATTATTGGAATACCTTGATAGCATCTATTAATTAACTCAAGAACAGAGAAAAGGAACTTACAAATTCAACAAATGCTTGGTTGCGGTTGGAGCCAACATTGAGCTTAGTATTGACGATCTTGCCGAAGGGTTTGCACAGCTCGATTAGCTCTTCTTCGACGCACTCCCATGGGAGGTTCCGCAGGTGAAGAACCTTAGATGGTGTCTGCGTGTACCGAAATTGCGGCTGCCCCGATGTTGACATCGATCCGTTACAGATTCGGTTCGGCTAAAAGGTCGTTTTTGCTCGGGCGCAGGACAACTCAACGCTGCCGCCGAATATTTTTATCAAATTCCGGTGTAATAGGTTTTGATTTGGTGGTTCTTTAAAAACCAAGGGTTTTTCTGGGTTTTCCCCGCGACTGCAAGTCTCAATAGTGCAATATCCTCTTAGGCTAACCTCAATTGGTGAGTGAATTTTGTGTATAAATCAAAATCTGTCACACACAAGTTATTACTATCTCTATCCCAATTTAATGATGGTTTTCAAATTTATTTGTTCAAACATAAAGTATTCATGATGACAAAAATATAACCTATAAGGTTTGAATAGATAAAACATTAATTATTTTTAAACTTGACAAATAAAAAAGTGACCAACTATTTTGGGTAGATGTTTCAACTATTCGGCAACTTCTTTGTCGACTATATCCATGAGGCACTCTACGTAGCCGGACATCACATCACCACCTCCACCAGCATTTGGTGTCGCCTCCTCCAACGACATTCGAAGTCGTCACCTCCGCCAACATCGACGTCTCTGCCTTCGACGGCGTCCCACATCGCCGCCTTCATCTACATTCTGTTGCGATTTTTTATCTTCATCTTTAATCTGTGCTGATAGATGAAGCAGTGACAAGACGGATGACCAATGTAGAACGAGACTATCGTCGTCGTCCTTGTGTCCAGATCTGTGGTGAGGTTCTCAGCAGCTAGAGCTTGGCGATGGCAATAATCACTACGGCTTGGCGATGCAGTGGGGGCTACGCTTCAGACTTCGGATATGGCGACGGCATCTAAGTTAATATACGGATGAAAGGTAGGGTTTAAGGATGGAAGGGGAATGTTGGACCGATGTCGGGGATGTGCAAATTTGGGATAGATCTGGGTTGGAGAGGGATGGATCGGGGACTGCGTTGGGTTGGTTGGGGCTGGAGCTGGAGCTGAGGAGGGGGAGGGTGGCTGGGGGCAAGTCAGGAGACTGTGATGGGACTAGAGCTGGGGAGGGACTATGAGGGGGCTGGGACTAGGGAGGGGGTTAGGGGTTGTCGACGGTGGCGGTAATCCAGGTTGGCCAAATGGCGGCGGCCGGAATGTTGTGGTGGCGGTCGGAGTTAGTGATATGGCGGTGATAGATTGCGGGGATTTAATGTTGTTGATGTCACTTTTTGTCGGACATGGTTAGGGTTGAGGAGGGTACGGGTGTCAGTGGCGGCGTGGAGACAAAGGTTTGGCGATGCAGTGGGGGCTAGGCTTCAGACTTCGAAGATGGCGACAACGGCTAAGTTTAAAGACAGGTGAAGGCCAGGGTTTGAGACTGGAGGGGGGATACGGTGGACCGGGGTCAGGGATGTGCAGATCTAGGATAGATCCGAGTTGGGGAGGGGTGGACCCAGGGTTAGGTTGGGTTGATTGGGGCTAGAGCTGGAGCTAGGGAGGGGGGGGTTGGGGCCTGGGGGCAAGTCAGGAGGCTAAGATGGGACTAAAATTGTGGAGGGATGGGGAGGGGGGAGGGGGTTAGGGGTTGTCGACGGCGGCGGTAAGCCATGTTGACCAAATGAAGGCGGTCGGGATGTTGTGGCGGCTGTGAGAGAATGAAACATGTTGCCCTCTAAGGAGCCCTGACAAATCCAATGATGATGGGGCGCTGGTCGTCGACATATGGAGAGATGCGCTGATGCTAGCGCTCGCCGGAACAGAAGACACCATGGAGGTGGAGAGGGAGGCGGTTGCGGCAGAAATTGCTGCAAGTCTTGTGCGGCGATTCCAGGAGAGAGAGAAGAAAATGGAAAAACTTTAGGTTTGAACCGTAGCTCTGATACCATGTGAGAGAATGGAACAAGTTGCCCTCTAAGAAGCCTTCGCATATATATATTTATAATAGATAATAGAAGAATATTGTTTAAAATACATAAATAACCCCAGCCTATTAGCGGCTACCGGAATTAGTGAAACGACGACGGTAGGTGTCACGCCCCAGACCTACCGGACACGTCAACAACCCGCCGTACAGTACGAATAGTCAACCGCATTCCAACTCATCCATACTATACTAGGCATCTTGAATATCATTCACACATAGTACATCCATAAACAAACATAATGTAAAGTATTCATTTAAAGTAGCGGAAACATTTAATACAAGTGTTTATGTCACACTTTGGCAAACATGGGCATACAAGCCCCCAAATAATTATTCAAAAAATAATATCCATGAGCATTAATTTAAATGTTTTTAAAATAGAAGCGAAGGAAGCACGAACCACGTCTTCCTTCCCTGATTCTCCCGAGGCAATGGGCACTGGTAGCAAGCTCAACTTCTACCTGAAACTGTGAGGTGGCCTCCCCCGTGAAAGGGAGGTCAGTACTTGGAAGCATTTGACAAGTACAATGACAACTATACTAAGTATAACCAATGTTTCAATTTCTAAGACCATCAAATAGAGTGATATGATAACATAATGATAGTTCTTCTTTAAACCTTATTATCTTAATAATAAGTTAATTAATTAATTTGTCGGCACACAGCCCCTTTTCATATTTCATTATACCCGTCGTTAGCACGACACCGTCCGTAGGTCTTATCATCCTTTACGAGATTTGTCACCGCTATCCGAGGCCTCATCGGGCCCTCGGGCCGGAGTCCAACATCCCGCCCCTGAACTCATACCCATCATCCCGTAGGAAGGTAAGGTCCACTCGGGGTCCTATCTTAAGTGTTACCGCTGTCGGGAGCCTCGTAAAGTCTCTGGTTCGGATTCCACCCTAACCCGTGATCACGATGTAAGTCCATGCTATCCAACCCCGCTCTCTAGAGTCGGGAAGGGCCATGGTTCTTACTATTTACCAATACTCAACCGGCTATCCTCAAAGACTACCGAAACACACTCGTAGGTCAGTCCTATATCTACGATCAATTTATTATTCACTTTATCTTGGGTACCCCTTAAGGCCTACCCCTAGTATCACTTAAAGTTCATACTTATCCACCTTAGTATCTTTTAGGACTACTTAAGGTTCAACATTTCACAATCCAACCTTTGGATCAATTCAAACATATTCTCATTCCAATATCCCGACTACTATCTTAATACTAGTCGGATAAATTCCAACACAACCAATCTTCAGTTCATAGTCATATAGACAAATTCCAAACTAATTTTACATTTGAAAATATAGTTCACATCAATATACAAAATATAACTTTTAATCACTCATATACTCTTATATGAAGTAAAAATTATATTTCAACATATAGTTTATAGTTAATTCCTTAAAATTTGTATATTATGGTCCTTTTCCTTATAGACAATAGTCTTCTCATTCTTAGGCATTATTAATCATTAATAATCCTTAAAAACATATTTAATTACCTTAGGTAATCTCATGAAATTAACTCACTAATTATAAGGAATATAGTCAGTCATTCTCACCTTATGAAGTGTTGTAATAATTGCCTTTGTTAAGCCCATCGATCAATCCCCGTTCTAGAATGATTGGAGATGGAAATCCTGGACAACAGACGAAAGTCGGCCGGCTTTTGCAAACGTTGGGCGGCTTTCGTGATCTGCAGCTACGAACGGCTTCCTTTAAGTGGCGGTTTCCGGCGATTTCAACCCCTATCGATTCCACGACCCTTCTAAGTTAAATACCACCACCTTATAACAATATTCTACACTTTTAAACGTGTAGAACTCCATGTTTAACCCACCATATGTGTTCTTACCTCAAGAACAACTCTTTTCTCCTTGGATTTTCTTTTGTTGGTGCTTCCTTCAAGCTTGGAACTTTGTGAGAGTCTTTCCCTGAGCTCTTCTCTTCCTTGTGATGGCTGAATGATTGCAAAGGATAGGAGGAAGGTACTTCACTCAATTTGGCACATGTACTATGCATGAGTGAGACTTGGGGTGTGGGTTTTTGTCTCTAGGAGGCTTCCCATCCTCTTGTGCGCATCAACACATATTTGGTTGTCTCCCTACCTATTATTTGAGGCTAGTTGATGTGTAAAATACCCCAAGTGGGCGTAGGAAGTCCCTCCCAATTATTCCTGTTATTTTTGGCAAGTTGGGCCAAAATAGCACTCGGTTCGTCCAAACATTTTTATCAACTTTAGTTGGCACTTTATTGGGCTTCTAAATTTATTACGATGACCCAACTAAATATTTGGGAGTCCATTCCCATTATTAGGGACCCGATAAATAATTTAATTAGTCACGCATTAATTAAATATACCAATCATGTCACACAATTTTATTCGCTAGGGAATTCAAATACATGTTGAATTTCAAATTCAAGTACATCCGGGTGCGGTGTCACAGTAGGTGGCGGGGATTTATTGTTGTTGATGTCACTTTTAGCAGGACATTGTTGGGGCTGGGGAGGGTACAGTTGTCGGCTGCGGCGTGGAGACGGTTTCCGGAATGGAAACTATGGAGTTTGTAGCGCACAGTGACAAAGTTCACAATGACACAGTGACATACCAAAGTGACATTTAAAATCAATAGTGACATTTAAAAGTGACATAAAAATAGGGAATGACATATGATAATGATAAAAATCGTGAAGTGACATAAGAATTTGACAGTGACATCATATTTTTTCAAATATTTCACCTTCATAGTCACACATTTGTCCTTTTGTAAAAATGGTCACATTTTTTAAAATTGATTTTAATCTAGCCATTCAACATTTACTAAATTTGTCTTTCTATTTTGTGACTTTGTAAAACTTGTAACGTACTTTATGAATATATAAATTAAAGGTGATCGTATATATATAAGTGTGTAGAACAAAAGCCCACTATAAAAGGTACATTATTACTTTAATTGTGTATGATATCACTAAATACCGAGATGGGAGGCGGACTTCTAATATACAATGCAACACACAATTTTAAATAATTTTAGACCCATTAATATTTTTTTTTTTCAGAATCGCTTTTAAAACCAATTTATAGACCAAAATGTAACACCCTATCCGAATCGGCCCCGCCGACCCGAGCGGCGTGTCACGTGGCAGAAATCAAAACAGATTTAAATAAAACACTTTTAATTAGTTAAAACAAAATTAAAAATGTTTTATTTAAATCTGTTTTGATTTCTGCCACGTGACACACCGCTCGGGTCGGCGGGGCCGATTCGGATAGGGTGTCTCCTTGGAAAAAGTACTCCGTTTCGGAAAAAGGG